TCCGAGGAAGTAAAAAAATTTATTAAGGTAGAAATATCGATAAAAAATTTTTATTATTATATAATTCTTCTGAGCTGTATAGAAATATATATATATATATATATATATAATTGATAAAGTAATAGAGGAAAATATACATAAATACATTGAAAATACGCTCTGAAGCACGTGAGAGCATGTTGAAATAAGCGAAGTAAATCGTGTTAGAAAGTTGTGTTGACACAAAATTTCTTGCATTACTAATACATATATTAAACAAAATAGAAAAAAGTTACATGATTCCAAATAACTTTTAGTCTAATGATCAGAATATTACTTGTTTAGCAGCAATTTTAATAGTTTGAGACCTTCATTTACGATATTCCAATTATAAATGCAGAAGGTAATGGAAGATACGAAATCAGACTCAAAGACGTACTTTCTTTAATCATTCTTTAATTTCTTTAATCATTATTTTATCTATTTCACTAAATAAATACAAAAAGTTCAACGCTGAACCGTAATATCTGTACCTTGAACTTTAATGCTTTGCAAATTTTCTGAAAACTTAATAAGGTGTTAAAATGAATCGCATTTCCATTCAAGTTCAACCATAGAATCATGTTGTCAAGTTAAAAAAAAGTACGATAACATGGTTTAACTTAACAACATATTGAGGTTGCAGAACACTTCTACCGCACGATAATGCAGTAATATGGTTCAAGGTGATATAAAAATTTCTAACAGTAAGGTTATCGGTTTGTAGAAAATTTTCCAACTTTCAAAAGCGTAATTTATAAATTTATAAAATTTCTACGACAATTATACGTTAACACTTTAACTCATATAAGCTAGAAGGTTCTTAGCAATTCAAAACAAAATGAAATCAAATTTACATCACAAAAAAAACCATAAAAGACTTACAGATAACACAGCCAAAGCTCAAATAAATCAAAACTTCATTAAGAAAATATATTTGCATATAACATCCACTTCTAAAAAACGCTATTCCGGATTGATTTATATACTTAACTTTGGTTGAAACTATTTCCTTTTACAGAAAAAAAAGAACTCCTGCAAGGATTGGGTAATTCACAAAAATTCATAAATTCAAAATTTTTGGAAGAGAGCTTTGAACTGCTAACATGACTAATACTGAGTCAGATGTTTGACATTCCACATGGAAACCTTTGAAATCAGACACTCAAATTACTAGAATTGAAAGATACAAAAAAGAAATTTTCACTGTCGGTACCACCCCCCAAAGGGTTCATTTTCAATTTGCGGTGATCTATTCAGGGAAAGGGTTCACTGAGTCATTTTTGAGACAATTGTTCTGGTTAGCTTCATACCAGGCAACTTGATGAATTAGTTGAATTAACCATTGTTTTTTTTTACCCCAACAGCAATACTCAATAAATGTTCACACGCGTTAAGGGCGTTTATCTTTAAGGGGTTGGGTTATTTTAGGGTTTTGGAAAAATCACTTTTTTTAATCTTTGCTTAACCTCTTCGAGACGGGCGAGTCATATATGCAATCTCAGGGTGTGGATAATCAGGGTAAAAAAGATAAAACTGGTAGCCAAACTATTTTTATAGCAGTTTATTTGAGGGCGGGGTATTAATAGTTTGCTTTATTTAATTCACCGCTACTTTGTTTGAATTAGAAATTGTATAGTTACACTTTTAACACACAAGGATTGGATGAGTAAAGAGAAAGCAAAAATAAGTCTGTCAAATTAGCTATGGCCAAACTTAAGCTACCGCTTTTTATTTTCTACTTTCTTGATTCTGATTCCGAACGAATACGTTTATGACTCGCCCGTCCCGAAAAGGTTAAAAGGTGCCTTTGTACTTTAAAATGGCACTCTCAAAAGTTTATGATCAGGAATGAAATATAAGTATCAGAATTTTTAAGTTTTGCCCAGTCGCTTAATGCCTACTTCGTGCAACCTGAAAATTTTAAAAGCCTTATTCTCAAAACTCCGCCGAACACATTGCTCGATCAAATCTCCGTTCATTAATTTAAAATTAACCGCATATTTAAAATAAACATTCGTTAAAAAATTACTTAACATAATTTTTTTTTAATTCTTGTTTTTAACATTAATTTAAGGATAGAAATTTCGGTTTTAAAAAAAATCACCATTCTTAAAAAATTTAGAACATTACGTATGTAATAAAAAAAGTTACTGTCTAACTTTAAGTAATGCTGTGGTAATTCAAGAACAATATCGCCATAAAAATAAAATAAATATTCATAGATGAAAATTCGCAGATCCACATTTTGTTTTGTATCGCTTCAAAAAATTTATTTTTACAGTTCAATAGTTACGTAATAAAAAATTTCCAAACATTTTAATATTTGGAAAACTTTTATACCTTGCTTCGAAGGTTTCCCGAATTTTACTTATTTTTTCCTTTTAAAGTAGCTTAATCCTTTAAGTAAGAAGCAAATTTTTTTTAAAGTTGCCACTTAATTAGAATAAAAAATTTTAAATCAAACAATTATCAATAAAATGTATATGTAGTAGTTACTGCTCGTAGAAAAAGAATGGTCAAAATTACCAGAATATCCTAAAATTGGAATAAGGTAAATACGGTATCATCTTCCGGGCTCTATGGGAGCAACAAGAGTCTCTGTAATTTTACCGAAACGCATTGGTAAAATTAACAAAAAAATATTATTTTATAATATGTAATATAATTTGGTTAATGTGGTAAAGTCTTGAAATTTTATCATGATACCTTAGAGCAATAAAACCATAAGCATAAAAATAATTTATTCGATTAAATTTACATTTCAGTTTTGTATTTTTTACTAAATGCGAGGTAATAGGAACCATACTTTTGTAACCAGAATTTTCAGTAAACCGTTACCATATGAACGGAAAAACTGATAAATGATTGGTTGAAATAATGAATATTTTGATTTTATTACCAGAATAATGCTTTTTTTCAAACTAGAAATGTCTTTTTCTCCGTATATTAAATTAAATTTTTAATTAAATCTTATATACTTATATAATGAATTGAAATTATAAACAGGCAGAAAAAACACCTTTAACTAATCTTTTATATTAAAAAATTAATAAAACAAATTTATTTATACTTTTTTATTATTAAAATATTCTGAAGTAGCTAAAGTAACTAAACTAAAGTAACTAAACTAAACTAAAGTACTAGACTACTAAAGTTACTAAAGTAACTAAAACAAAACTTTTATAGTTCTCAAATAATGACAATAATTTTTTTTTTATTCTAAAAATATATAAACGTATTTCAACTAAAAATATCCTCACACTTATTGTTAGTTACATTTTCGTTTTTATTTTCTACCTTAAAAATAATGCACGAAAAGATCTTGATTTCATTGTCCTATTTTTTATGAAATCCTGTTGTGTAGTTGGAATTATTTTTTTTATAAATGTTAAACATATTGAATAATTTCAACTCCATCAGTACTGATCCATACTATACATATCTAAATCTATTAAAACTTTAATCTCAACTGCGTAAAAATTTTTTACAATTGAGTTCTTTTAAAATTTTAATACTGAAACTCCAAAACATTATATTAATTAATATTTTCAAAAATATTAATTAATTATATTAGTTATTATTTTCCGAAAAGAGTTTTAAAACTTTTAAGGTTCGCTGTATAAACTTTTAGGTACAGGGAGAAAAAAATTATGGTAAAATTACCATCTCTAAAAAAACCTAATTTTGGTTAATAAAACCGAAACATATGATATTCAAACATGGTAACATGTATTTAAACAAGTACTTTTTCTGTTTATATGGTAATAACATATATATTAGATAATTTTTCGGTTTATATGGTTTGAAGAAAATTCCAGTTTTCAAATTTATAGTTCTGATACACTCTAAGTAAAAACTATAAAACAGTAGAGTAAATTCAACCGAATAGATGGTTTTTATGTCATGTTCTAAGAAATCATGAAAAAATTACCAAATTTAACCACATTCATCAAATTTTATCACATATTATAAAACTATATTTTATTGCTTATTTTATTAAAATCATTACCACATTGCTTCGGTAAAAAATTTTACAGAAATTTTGGTGTTTCCATAGAATTAGAAATGTGGTACATTTTACCATATTTTAGTAATTTTGACAATACTTTTTCCGAGTTAAACTTTCTCGTTTTTTGTTTCATTTTTCAAAAGGTTAGATGATTATTTATTCTTCCATAAATAATATTTAATTATATTAAGAACACTGAAATGTTATTCATAATACTAAAAACATATTTGTATAATGAAATGGAATGCCTCCAGGCCGGAAATCAAGCCGGAAGCTTATTAACTTATATTAAAATAAAATTAAATTCTCAAGTTATTTTTATTATCAGGTCAAGTTATTTTAAAATTACTATATTTAAAAACTGTTCTAAAATCTTAAAATAGAGATATTCAGAAAAATACGATGATAAGAATGTCAGAAATTTACCACTTTATTTATGAAATAAATCATCTCAGAACACATTTCAAACCAAATAAATATAAAATATATTTTAGCAATTTACTTGATGATGTCGAATTTTGATTTATGAGATTCTCAGCTTATCAGACTCAATCGCGCTTTGAAATGGCATTTATGAGTTGTGATGTATGTCTCACTTGAAAGAGTAATTTGCTTCCGATATAAAATGTCAGGTGAGCTATAAACGAAACTGATATTTCCGCAGGAAAAAATGTCCGAAAATCTTATTTTCTTTATTGATTTAAGACCAAATTTCAAAATTATTGTACAAATGTCTAGAAAATTACTAACTGGAATTAGAAACGAAACTCAAATAAAACATTTTGATAGATTTATTTGTCTTTTGTATCTTATTTCAAATATAAATAAATCAATAAATGTTGGTTAAAATTATGAAGTTAATCAATGGGCTTTAATTAAGTATCAATTAACACTTTATTTTATTCTTAAAATGATTACATACAGTAATATTTTTTCCTGAAGGCAGAATTCAGGCAAACTTATATCTAATATTAAATAAAAATTTTAATATGGTGTATAATAATAAAATTTGAAACTAAAAAGAGATAATAGATTGTCTAAAATATTTTTACGAAACTGATGAAACAATTAGCTTTTGGCAGTTTTAAGATGATATATTGTATAAAAAGGAAACAAATCCGATGCTGGTACATACTGGTATTTTTTTAAAGCTCTTTGTAAACAGAAAAATGTTTGCTAAGTACATTAGCAAGCTAAATCAGAAATCAAAATTAGTACAAGAAAACACCTTACGTAAAATTCTACAAGAAAAATTTTATTCAGAAGTAAAAATATATTTATATGAAATTGGTTAATTATTCAGTTATACAAAACTTTGTTAATGTTTCAAAGAGTTCTGCAACTTAAATCACTTAATTAAATTATGATTTAAATCACTCTATTTTTTTGAAAATATCATTTATTTAAATCACCTGATTCTTTTTTCAAAAAAATTATTGATTTATGTCAAAAGTAAATTTGTACAGTATATTTTATAAATATATTCTTAATGTTATGATTTTTTGAGGTCTAATTACATTGATATTGATGGTTTTGATGTAACGAACTAATGTGTGGGAAATATATTTAAATCAATATTTGATGCTCAAAATAGACACTAATAAATAAAAAAGAAACTGAATATGGATAAAAGTGAGGTGAATTTCTTAAATTATAAATCCTCATTTACTGTATGTAAAATAATTTGCTGTTGAATAATCATATTTCTATTATATCCATTTAGTTTTATTTCATGCTTAAAAACTTATTAAATATATAGTTCACTTTTGTAAATAATTAAGAAAGGCTTAGTCTGCAAAGAGTAATTTACGGTAATTTAATTTTTCTTTTATGTTTCCAGATGTAAAATAATTTATTCCTTGATTGATATAACTGACAATTTTATCTTAAAAAAAGTATTTATGAAAATGATGAGCTTGAATGAAAACAATAAGAATTTTATTTATTCAGTTATTAGCGTGCATGCACACAACAATTAAATATGAGCAAGCACCTAGCCTCATTTTTCAAGGCTCTATCTTTTAGCAGCCATGGAAGGAAAGCCACGTAATTGTGATCCTGGTCAGGCGACGTGGAGAGCACCTAAGCTGGTATTCCTCTCTCCAAACTCCAGCATCACAGCCAACGGAAGCACTTTCGGCCACAACAGATTTATCGTGCCCCTTGTTCCTCATACAGGTTGGATGTTTTGCGACCGAACTTGCGACCCCGGTCTCCACTGGTGACGTAAGAGACTGGTGACGTCTAATACAGGGGCTCTAGCCTTTACTAACTAAGCCACCGGAACACTCATGCACGTGTGCAGTAATTGTAAAACAATTTTAACTATTTCAATTAGAAATATTAAATTCGTCAATTATAATATTGTTTTTGAATGGTATTAAGAATTATGAAAATATTATATCAGGGCTTTGGTTGGTAAAAATATTTAAAAAAAACTGTTATTTAAATTTATTAAGAAAAATCCGATTAAAATTAAAAAATCTGCTTTTTTTCTATAAAATTTTTTTTGCTTTTTGATAACTTTGGTTTGTCACGAAGAACAGATACGTACCTTATCTGTTTTCATCATATCTAAATGAGAATCAATATAAGAATCGACGGGTTTCTAAAAGGATTTTTAAAGCTACAAATGTCATTTTGGTAACGAAGCTTTAACACTAAAAATAAGTCATTCGGCAAGAAAAAAATATTAAAAAAAGCCTTATGTTTCTTTAATTGCTCACATGCAGTTGAGCTTATTAGCATATTAAAAAACAATTGTTAGCGATGTGTGAAACTGAAACCTGTTTTGCAATAATTTTCTATAAGAAGGAAATACAATAATTTTAAACATCTGATATTGTACTAAAATTTTTTTTAGTATTTTAATATTTTTTTTTTATTCTTCTCAAAATTATATATTTCGAAAAAAAGTTCTAAAAAAATCTCACTAAATGGGAAAATTCTAATACATTTATGATAGTCAATGAAACAAAAAATTCAATTTTTTTTTCCACTTAACGAGTAATCTCTTTAAATTCAGGATCGTTTTAAGAGAATCTTATTGTATTATGATATGCAATTACACATACTTGCAGATTAATTATTTAACAGGCTTTGTTTATTTAAAATATACCCTATGATTATTTGGAAACATGCATCTGAATACTACTCATTAAAATTAAAAGTCTATTTTTGAGCTTTACTAGTAAATAATTTCATCTAGGTAACGTTAAACCCTCAACTAAAAATTTAAAAGAGAAAAAGGAAGGGTCACTCAAAATAGAAAAGAATGAGAGACAGTTGTTTTTACTATTTTATTGCCTTTACTATTTTATTAATAACATTTTGAATTACAATTAATAACAATATAATAACATTTTTATATTTATATAAATATGCATTAAAAATTATTAGCAATAAATTAATTAGCAATAAAGAGTTTTTTTTTTAAGAGCAGTTTATTTTTCATTTAGTTTTATTATATTTCAAGAAAAATAATTTTTCTTGAAAAAATTATTGGTTTTAAGAAAAATATACTCCAAAAAAAATTAATTACAGTTAATTTAAAGAAAATTTTGGTCATAGATTTGTCTTTTACTTAGAATGATTATGATTACTTAGAATGATAAATCTGTGTTTTTGAGTTTTAAGTAAAAATTTAGAGAGAACCACATTGCCTTAGCTTTAACCCTTTGAAGCCGATTGGTGTCCTTTTTATGCATTTTTTTCTAACTCTCTAATTACAAAAAAATATCATTTCTGTATTTTTTTAATTATGAAAAAGTCTAATAGTTACTAAAAAACCTGTTAGATTACTGGAATTATGTTTGCCCAAAAATATAAAATATAAAAAAAGAAGGTTTAAATTTTTTTTTCTTTACATAATCCAATACAATTTGCTCTTCTCAATTCAAATTATTAAGATTAAAACAAATTCCTCAAAATTTTTGTTTGCAGCTAACTTTCCATTGACTAATGGTAAGCACTCAAATACAGAACCAATCTGAAAATGTGTAGTACCTAGCCAATTTATATAAAATGTGTTTTTAGATAAGTAATAAAATACACTGTACAACTATTTATTGATTACTATCACTAATAGTAACTCAAGTACAAAAGCGGAGCTGCCATGTGCGCAACACCAACTAATATAATATGCTAATTGAAGGAATAGATAAATTCAACAATAAAATTCTTATTGTGGAATCAATAAATTCCAATATAAAATAGGCAACTAACTTTTTATTGATTAATATCAATAAAAGCCACTCAGATAAAAATATGGCACTGCAATATATACAAAATCAAGCAATATTAAATGCTCTTATAGATAAATTCTAAAATAAATTGGGCAACTAACAATACGTTAATTAACATTGATAATAGTCACTAAGCTTAAAAAAAAATAATTATAAATAATGAAAAACAGTACAGCTATCTTTACTGAACGAAATTATGTAATTAAAGCTTATAAAGGAATTCAAGAGACAATAAAACAAATTCAATTAAAAATTTCGAGCAGAGAACTTTTTATTGATTAATGTTATGTAATAGCCACTTAAATACCGAAATTGAATATTTAATTTATATTTACACTTACTTTTAATTTGCTATATCCAAGTTTTAGTTGGCGGATAAGTATACTAACTATTATTGCTTGGTCTGTTGTATTACGCAAAAGCAACGACAATGCATATTTGATCACTACCGACTTCAAACAACCAAATAAAATTTGAATCTCAAATCCATATTTATAGAAAAACGGAGTGTTCCGATTGGATGACCATCCAACAAACCAACGGGATGGAAAAGTTATGAAAAGAGTTCTATAAAAAATCGAAAATCCCATAAATTTCCCCCTCATAAGATGCTTCAGTAATTTTGGCAGAGTTTGTTTAAGGTAAAACATATAAAAAAATAATAGAGCACTCGTTCGTAAACTTTCTCTTTTCATACATAATAGAAACCCTTAATATTTTATGTAATTCTTATCAATATTGTTTAAGAATTGTTGTCTGCTGTCATTTCCCCTAAAAAAGTGTTCCAAATTGCTCTGAGAAGCCATAAGGAAGGAATTTGATTGCAACTAAGGTGTTCTTGGAAATGGAACTTTTGGTTCATATAGTCTTTGTTGAAGGCTGGAAATGCCCTTTTTAAGAAATAAGGTGAAATTCTCAAAAATACGGTAATTTTATTGAGTTTTTTCCGGAGATAAATGTTATCGACTCTAAAATACTTCCGTTTGTGTTTATTCAAATGAAGATTTTGCAATTTGCTTGTATTTCAGGTCAAGAAGGTCGTGACAAACCTCAACCTCAGATCCATAAAGATCATTGTTTTAGTCTGACTTTACCCTTAAAGGAGAAATAGGATAAGAGTGAGCATTCGTTCGTCGAAGATAAAATAAATAATCAACTGCGTTGTTAAAGTACGTGATTCTGGGATAGTCATACCATTAAAAAGACCTTACATATTTCCCATCCTTTTGATATTTATTAACTTTTGAATGTTCATTTAATCTTCTAATCCTCTTCTGAAGGACTTTTGTATTAATCTTCTTCTAAGAAAAATAATGGTTAACGGAAATCTATATTTTTGAAAGTCAGTCTTTGAAAAATCAAGTAAGATTGGATTGTTGATTTTGTTGAAATTTTTAAGAAATATTTGTCGCGTAAAATTATTAGACATGTGTATTTTTATTTTTGCGAGCAAAAATTTTTTTTCTTATGGTTTCGGTGGGTCCGGAAATTTTGAGAAAAACAAATACGCCTAAATGAGGCAATATTTGTGTGAAATAAGTGAATCACAGCATGGATCATTATTTTGAGTTCTACTACTTCTACACTAACCATTAAAGCATAAATACTTTCAAAGGACCTAAGCAATGAAAGTCATAAATCATTACAAGTCATAGAAATAAAGCTATTTTTCTTAGACTTTGACCATAAAAATCTACTTTTGCTAACAGTGAACCATAAAAGTGTATATTTTCTGAAAATCTATACCACTGAGTAGTATCTGAAAAATTAAGATACGTATGATGTGCATTTAGCATGACCTTGAAGCTGCCTTTAATGAAGCAAGATACTGAAATTTTGCACAACTTTCTAAGTCATTAAATACCTTCGCTTAAAACTAGACGTGTATGAAATAGGGTGGAAAAGAAGCCTTAAGTTATAATGGGAAGAATATCAATTCACAGACCTATGGTTACGGATTCAACTTTTATATAATATGGTTTTAAACTTTGCACCCCTACCTGCGAAGCAGAATGCAGAAATAGTTCTGAAAGAACAGTAAATTATTTTAAAATGTATGATTTATGTCCAATATGAATATTTGACGTTATCAGCCACCCTGAGGCATATTTAGTCACTAGAGGGCATAACTTACTCGCTGCTATCTGTAGTAAATGATAAAACCAGAATCGAATGAAATCACACTCAAGTCAATGCATCTAATAGTTAAGAAGTTACTTAAGTTTTATATTGAAAAAGAGCGAATNAATTATTGGTTTTAAGAGAAATATACGCATATCTAAAAAAACCTAATTTTGGTTAATAAAACCAAAACATATGATATTTCAAACATGGTAACATGTATTTAAACAGGTAATTTTTCTGTTTATATGGTTTGTCGAAAATTCTAGTTTTCATATTTATAGTTCTGATACACTTTAAGTAAAAGCTATAAAACGGTAGAGTAAATTCAACCGAATAAATGGTTTTTATGTCATGTTCTAAGAAATCATGAAAAAATTACCAAATTTAACCGCATTCATCAAACTTTATCACATATTAAAAGACTATATTTTACTGTTTATTTTATTAAAATTATTACCAAATTGCTTCGGTAAAAATTTTAACCGAAATTTTGGTGTTTCCATGGAATTAAAAATGTGGTAAATTTTACCATGCTTCAGTAGTTTTGACAGTACCTTTTCCGAATTAAATATTCTCATTTTTTTTGTTTTATTTTTCAAAACGTTAGTTTATTCTTTATTCTTCAATAAATAATATTTGATTATATCAAAAAACACTGAAATATCATTCATAACACTAAAAACAAATTTCTAAAAACGAATTGAAATGCTTTGAATCAAGCCATAATTTTATAAACTTACAATAAGATAAAACTAAATTCTCGTGTTATTTTAAAATAACTATATTTAAAAACTGCTCTAAAATTTTAAAATAGAGATATTCAGGAAAGTACGATGATAAGAATTTCAGAAATATACCATTTTATTCATAAAATAAATCATCTCAGAACGCATTTCAAACCATATAAATATAAAATATATTTTAGCAATTTACTTGATGATGTCGAATTCTGATTTATGAGATTCTCAGCTTATCAGACTCAATCGCGCTCTGAAATGGCATTTATGAGTTGTGATATATGTCTCACTTGAAAGAGTAATTTGCTTCCGATATAAAATGTCAGGTGAGCTATAAACGAAACTGATATTTCCGCAGGAAAAAATGTCCGAAAATCTTATTTTCTTCATTGATTTAAGACCAAATTTCAAAATTATTGTACAAATGTCTCGAAAATTACTAACTGGAATTAGAAAAGAAACTCAAATAAAGCATTTTGATGGATTTATTTGTCTTTTGTATCTTATTTCAAATATAAATAAATGAATAAATGTCGGTTAAATTAAGAAGTTAAACAATGTGCTTTAGTTAAGCATCAATTAACACTTTTATTTTCTAAAATTATTGCATACATTAATAATTTTCTAGAAAGTAGAATTTAGGCACAATTATAAACAAAAATTAAATAAAAATGTTTAATTAGGAAATAAACAAAACTAAAAACTGAAAGGAACTTTGGAAAAAAAAATAAAAAAGACAATATATTGTTTAAAATGTTTTCACGAAACTAATGAAACGATTAGCATTTGGCAGATCTAAGATGACATATTCTACAAGAGGAAAACATATTTTCTGTTACATCTACACTCTTATTTAAAAAAAAGATTTAAAAAAAGTGCGTGGTAAACAGAAAAATGTTCGTTCAGTACATTAGCAGGCCGAACCAGAAATCAAAATTAGTACAAATAAAAAACACTTTATGGGAATTGCTACAAGAAAAATTTTATTCAGAAATAAAAATGTATTTAACTGAAATTAGTTAATTGCTTAGTTGTACAAACCTTCGTTAGTGTTTCACAGAACTCTTGTAACTTAAATCACTTAATTTATGATTTAAATCACTCTATTTTTTAAAAATATCATTTATTTAACTCACCTGATTCTTTTTTCAAAAAAATTATTGATTTATGTCAAAATTAAATTTTTACAGTATATTTTATAAATATATTCTTAAGGTTATGATTTTTTGAAGTCTAATTGCATTAATATTGATGGTTTATATGTAACGAACTAATGTGTGGGAAATATATTTAAATCAGTATTTGATGCTCAAAATAGACACTAATAAATAAAAAAGAGACTAAATATGGATAAAAGTGAGGTGAATTTCTTAAATTATAAATCTTCATTAGCTGCATGTAAAATAATTTGTTGTTGAATAATCATATTTCAATTATATCCATTTAGTTTTATTTCATTCTTAAAAACTTATTAAATATGTAGTTTGAAAGTAATTAAGAAAGGGTTAGTTTGCAAAGAGTGATTTACGATAATTAAATTTTTCTTTTATCTTTCCTGATGCAAAATAATTTATTCTTTAATTGATATAAATGGCAATTTTATCTTTAAAAAAAGTATTTATGAGAATGATGAGTTTGAATGAAAACAACAATAATTTTATTTATTCAGTGATTGGCCTGCATGCACAGAACAATTAAACACGAGCAAGCACCTAGCCTCGATTTTCAAGGCTCTATCTTTTAGCAGCCATGGAAGGAAAGCCACGTAATTGTGACCCACGTCAGACGACGTGGACAGCACCTAAGCTGGTATCCCTCTCGCCAAACTTCTGCGTCACAGCCTACGGAAGCACTTTCAGTCACAACAGATTTATCGTGCCCCTTGTTCATTATACAGGTTGGTTGTTTTGCTGGCTTAAAGAACCGAACTTACGACTCCGGCCTCCACTGGTGACGTGAGAGAGGCCTTAACTAACTGAGCCACCGGAACACTTATGCACGTGTGCAGCAATTGTAAAACAATTTTAACTATTTCAATTAGAAATATTAAATAAAATTATAATATTGAATTGAATAGTATTAAGAATTATCAAAATACTATATCAAGACTTTGGTTGGTAAATTTATAAAAGTATTTAAAGAAAACTGCTATTTAAATTTTTTTAAAAATCCGATTTAAATCAAAAAATCTGCTTTTTTCTATATTTATTTATTTTTTAATTTTTGATAACTTAGGTCTGTCATGAAGAACAAATACTCAACTTATCTGCTATCTATATGATAATCAATAGTTTTCTAAAAGGATTTTTAAAACTACAAATATCATTTTGGTAAAGAAGCCTTAACACTAAAAATGAGTTATCCGGCAAGAAAAAACAAAAAGAGCTTCGTGTTTCTTAAATTGTTCACATGTAGATGAGCTTGTTAGTATATTAGAAAACAATTGTTAGCAATGTGTGGAATCCGTTTTGGAATAATTTTGTATCAGAAGGAAATACAATTTTAAACAACTGATATTGTACTAAGATATTTTTAGTATTTTAATTATTTTTTATATATTTTTTTTATTCTTCTCAAAATTATATTCTCCGAAAAAA